GAGAATTATTACTTGATAAAAAGACATGAACCACACATTGTGAAGAGCTGAGACAGTCTGAGGAGAAGTGCAGAGTGGCAATTATTTTAAATAAGAAAATTTAAAATTAAAATGAAGGTTAAGTCAAGTCACATGTGAGGCAGATCAGTGATCATAAATATCAAGACTGCAAATGACTCAAATGTATGTCTTTTCATACAGAGGCTTCCTGGGACTTGCCAGGGAAGGAGAAAGAGACACTTGTCTTCCCCTGGGAGCCCCTAGCACCGCAGCTTCTAGAGACCTGTGGGGTTTCTCTCCCGGGGCCGCTTGTGTTCTAACACAGACAGCCTGTCCCAGGCAGTGGGAGACACTCACTGGAGTGTGAAAGAGTTGGCCCGAACATCAAGTCCAGACAGAAGCTGGTGGAGGAGAGATCAAAGACCTTCGAGAATTAGCGATGGAAATGATAAAACTGAAATGACAAAATACCCCTGACAGCAGCATCAGAGATGCAATGTTCAAGCATAAATGTAACACAATAGATGTACGATCCATACTGAAAATGGCAAAATGTTGCAGAAAAAAAAATCAAAAGATCTAAGTAAATGAAGATAGGTACCATAGTCTACTAAGGATCTCCATGGTGGGAAGGAAGGAGACAGAAAGTAACTGAGCCTTAGGAAGCAGGCCATCAACTTTTAGGGTCCTGGGAGCAGGATGTGGAGGTAAGGGATCTGCTGGCAGGACTGAGGGCAGGAGAGGAAAGAAACCATTTTGGCGCAGGAAACCCTGCAGAACTCTGGGCTTTGGTTGTGGGGGGTTAATAGGGTTTCCTAAGCTGAGGCAGGACGAGATGCCACAGCAGGCGTGCTGAGTGGTGGTGTCTAGTCTCTGACGGCCGGAGGTAAAGGTCTACCAGCTGCCCTGCCCCACCCCCACCTTCCATCGTCAGGGTTCCCATGGAGACCGGGGTGCCCATCTCTGGTTCCTCCTCTTCAGCTTTGCTCAGGGAACCTAAAGCTGGTGCCTTCCTCTCCTTCACGGGTGTGGGATCATTGGAAGAGGGCTTGGAAGGCTGGTCCTCTTCTCACCCTGAGCATTTCCCAACAGGTGCTAAAATAAAGACCCTCCTCATTCACTCGGGAGAGGGCCACAACCGGGAGACGACGGGTGGATAACACTCTGAGCCCTCCATGCCCATGCAGCTGAGGAACCCATGGGAGTCCATCTCTTTTTCCAGTGTTTTATTCTTGATGCAAACCCAGCACCAGCATGGAGGAAGTCGTCTGCAAATACTTAGGGAGAGAGGGCAGCAATCAGGCGCCAGAAGAAGCAAACTGGAGAAGAAGGAACCCCTCCAAACTCCAGAAAACAGTGCTGTGTGGGCACAAGTCAAGATGCAGTCACGTCTCCAGACTATACGCCTTGATGTAAATGACAGGTGAGTCCATTTGAACTTATAAAAATAGCCAGTGCTGAGTTGTTTGATGGGTGTTAAAAAAACACGGTTTATCTTTACTCAAAGCCAAAATTAAATAAATATCAATACCCACTCAGATGTGATAGTTTCCACATTGTTTGCAGCTTTTAAAAACATATTCGATGTTAAATATCATTTAGATGCTTTGTTGAGCAATCTTAATGATTCTTGAACACCACAAAAATTCCAAGTAGTTTGGGGTGGGGGGTGGGGGTGAGACAGCCTGGCTGTCTACTTCTCCAGAAAAACAGAAAGAAATAGACTTTGTAAGAGGCTCAGGGAGCAGTTCCTCAATCTGTCAATTCTCCATGGCTTTGGATTCACAGAAAAGAGCCAGTGTCAAAGATAAGCACAGACATTCAGTCACATGCACAACTGTGTAAAAGACAAAGCCCTGGGTGTGAGCCGCTAGAACGCCCCAGCCGTGAGCAGGGTCTCCCCTAACTGGGGAGAGTGCCCGCGTCCAGCTGTTGGGCTGAGCCGGGTCTGCCCATCAAACGTGTCTCCTTCACGAAGGCCAAGGTGAGCGCCGTCAGCTGGGGATTTTGATAAACTCTTCTATCTCCACAGTCCTCTCCACGTGGAAAACTGGACCTAAACCAGCGGCCAGGCGCCAGTGGCTGAATACAAAGTCCAGGAGGGAAGCAGGACAAGCCACAGACCAAGGTCCCCCTCACCTCCTCTGCAATGCTCCGAACAAACATTGCTCAGAGGGCAAACCCTTAAAGGAGCAGCTCTTAGCCTCACTAATCTGGCTTTGAGGCCACAGGTAGGGTGACAGGGAGGTGCTGACATGCCCCGCTACCCACCTGAAGCCCATCCCGAGAGGGTGTGCCCCACGAAAGGCGAGTTTGTGGCTGAAATATCCCAGGGAACAGCTCTGTGTCTGGTGGAGGATGGACAACTTTCTGTTTTCAGGTTTTGCTTGCTTGCTGTTCCCCTTAAACAGTGCGTCTGGACACGTTTCCAGCAGGTGGGAGCAACAGGAGAGAACCAGGACATAGCAAAGTTGGCGAGATGCTGGCCTGGGTCTGGAGACCCAGGAAGCCTGGGGGCACTGAGAACGCCATTCCAGGCTCTGCCTCTAACCTGCCAGGGTCGGGGCTGGAGCACTGGGCCCCGTCCAAGGCCATATCTGATGTGGTTTGGAAAGAGGTAAACTCAGCAGAGGCTGGTGGGATGGGAGCTTTTCTTGTGTGTTTCACACCCATTTAAAATCAGAGGACGCCGCCGCAAAGAAAATGGTGACACAGTCAGAGAAGAAATATATGGACATCAAGGGCGGAGGGAGGTGGAATGAACTGGGAGCCTGGGATTGAAGAATATACACTCTTATGTATAAAACAGACAACTGATGAGAAGCTACTGTATGGCACAGGGAATTCTATTCAGTATTCTGTAATAACCCAGAAGGGAAAGAATCTGAAAGACAGCAACCTGTGTGTCACTGAAAGACCTTGCTGCACGCCTGAAACGAACACAACGGGGTAAATCAACTCTACCCCAACGTAAAACAAAAGGTCACACTTAGAATGTTCTGGCTTCCCAGGTGGCACTAGTGGGAAAGAACCCACCTGCCAACGCGGGAGACACAGAGACACTGGTTCGACCCCCAGGTTGGGAGGATCCCCTGGAGGAGGAAATGGCAGCCCACTTCAGTATTCTTGCCTGGAGAATCCCATGGACGGAGGAGCCTGGTGGGTTCATAGAACTGTAGAGTCGGACAGGACTGAAGCAACTTAGTATGCACAAAACATGAAATGAGATGGTGTGGGCCCAATCCACGGGCGTAAAGTCCAGTCTTCAGAGCTTCCCTTCGTTTCTGTCTGACCTGGTCGTGGACCAGTGATGAGGAGACCCAGCAGGCTGGGTCTCTCTCTGGGAACACGCAGCGGTGAGGCTTTGCGTGGACAGAGATGCCTCCGGTCGGGGCAGCCTGCTCTGACAGCTGTAGCCCGACACCGAGCCACAGGCAGCCGCTCATGGGACCTGAAAGAACAGAGTCTAATCTTCGGAGCGAAAGCTCTGTGACTCCTGGACTGGCAGTGGAGATAGAGCCGCACGTCGTGGCCTGAAATCAGATACCAGGAGGGTGTACAGACAAATTGAGACCTCTTGTGGGAAGGAATTTTACCCACTCTCAGAGTCCCACGCAACAGCCCAGGGAGCTGATTCGATGCATCTAATCCGGCCAGGTAATTTTCACCCAGGTTCTTGTTAGATATAAAGAGACAGCAAGACAGAAAATGCATGCCTCATTAGAGAGGAGAAAGCCTACACGGGACCACTTCTGCCTGCAGGAGGACTCAGCCCAAACCTACACCAGGACAGAGCTGAAGGAACGTAGCGCAGAGCAGGAAAGTCAGGTTGGGCTCGCTAACACCCGGCAGTCTACGTGGGAGATTGCATTTTCGGTTTTTGAACTAAAATGTATATTCGGATTTTATCTGCCAAGAGAATGCCACATACTCCATACTAAAAATAGTTTTCACTACTCATGGTCTCCTACTTGGACTGTCTTAAGCTGCCGAGTTTCCTCTGTGAAAGTCAAATAATTTCATTCTGACTGAAAAAAGATGATCGGCCTAAAAAAAACAGCTACATGATCTATGTCTGTGTAAATCAAATTGTGCATTAAATAGCAGAGGAATTATTTTTTAAAAAAAGGAGGAGGTAAGTGTAGATATGACTAACATAATTATTCAAAAATCTTTCAATTTGGTTTTCTTTCAGGGATAAAAATCAAAGACTCCCTTGCTTCACAAAATTCATTATATTTACCACATGTTACTAAAGAGGAACCGCATCAGATAAGATACTGCTTAGCACGTTCACAGCGCTTAACCAAGTCAACTTACAGCAAGTGGTGAGCTTTCCTGTTAAGCCTTTTACGTGTGCTGTTACATACGATATTTTCAAAAGCCTCAAAATCTAACCATCACAGGCGCTTGCTAGGAGCAAAGTACCCCCGCTGACTGGACGAAGTTCTCAGTCATAAGAACAAATCTCTGTGTTCCCATGGAAATTGATTTAAACACATCCTCTGTCTGCCATCAATACAATTAATAGCAGGAAGGCAGGTTTATATGGAATATGGCTGAGCTGATCTGTTGGGAAGATTCTGGGGTCCCCGGGACCTCCGTTCTCTTATTTCATGCGCCGTTATCACAGTCTGTCATGTTAGGAACTGGTTTTCAATGTGCTTCTCAAAATTCCTCATCTGATTTCTCATGTTCAGGGAGAGCCTAATTGGATTTTTAATCCTTGGCTAACCGCGGCACGCTGGGCTTAGGTGGACACTGAAAAGTGCTTTCCACTGCCTATTATTTCAAGGCCAGCTCGCATGTAACCCGAATCACTAGGAAAATAACGCGGTAAAGCCCTCTGCCGTATAGACGTTACAGGAAAACAATGCGCTTCTTTCTTCACTGGGAAGGCCGTCCCCAGCTTTGAAGCAGCTTTGAAATAATGGACAGCCACAGGCTATTTTCTTCTGGTCTTCAATGTCTCAATACCAGGATTGTCTCCTCTGTTTGTTTCAGCTAATTGCCTGAAGATCTAATAAGTTAGTGATGACGGCCGCTGCACCCAGGACCCTGCCAAGAAGAGACGGCATCCCCACAGGTGGGTGGGGGGCAGCGCCGGGCGGTCCTGGGACCTGCGTGCGGCCAGAGCAGCATCGGTGACGGGCTTGGGGTGGAGGCGTCCACACGGCAAGTGTGGAGGGGTGAGCTCCCCGCGGAGACCGTGGACGCCTGCGTCTCCAGCGGGCCGGCTGGACGTCTGGCCTCCGTGGCCCCCCACCCCGTTTTCCTGCAGAGCCATCATGCCGTCCTTTTCTGAGATCCATTAGAGGAAAACTCAACTTTGATGAGAAGCGTAATCTGGTTGTCTCCTTCTTCCCGAAGAACACGCTTTCCCCAAGTTTGATCGGATGTTTTCCCTCCTGGGGCAAACCGAGCTCATTAAGGGGGATGAGCCGCGGTGGGGGCGGAGGTGCCCCGTGGCCCGGGAAGGCTGCGCTGATCCGAGAATGCGCGTCTCCCATTGAAAGGGAAACCGAGGCTCTCAGACAGATGCACAGCTTTAAACACACATGCCTGGCTCCGGGGAAGAGCGGCCTTCGGACCTGAACACTGGAAGCCGAGTCTCGAGTGACGCTGGGCGTGTGTGCGTCAGGCTGCGGTGTGAGGTTGCGAGTGCAGCCGCCAGCCTTGCCCATCATCTGCGGTACACCCTGCACGTGTCCCGGGGCTGCAGGACCCGGGGCCTCAGGCTGCTGCGGGGAGGAGAGGACTTAACACAGCAGACGTATGTCAGCCCCTAGCTCTGCAGACCGGAAGTCTGAAATCAAGGTCTGGGGGACCCTGCTTCCCCCAGAAGCTCCGGGGAGGGCCCTTCCTGCCCCCTCCCCTAGCAGCCGGGACCCCAGGCGTGCCTGGGCTCCTGGCCCCGCACCCCCTCCCCTGCAGCCCAGCCGCCGATTTCTCCCCTCGGGGCGTCTCCCCTCCTGTGTCTCTGTGCCCAGGTCTCCAGGCTGGCGCAGCACCAAGCCTCTGGATTTGGGGTTCTTGTCCAGCCTCTCAGTTGTGTCCGACTCTTTGGCCACTCCATGGACTCGCCAGGCTCCTCTCTCTATGGGATTTTCCAGGCAAGAATATTGCAGTCGGTCGCCACTTTCTCCTCCGGGGCATCTTCCCGACTCAGGGGTCACACGTGTGGCCGCTGCGCTTCCTCCACTGGCAGGAGGGACCTTTACCTCTGAGCCACAGGGAGAGCCTGGCCCTGCGTTGGGCTCCACCCGAGTCAGGAGGAGCCTGAACCTGAGCTTGATCACCTGAGCAGAGACCCTGTTTCCAAACAAGGCATGCTCACAGGTACAGGTTAGGGTGTCAACGTGCCCCCTGGGGACACAGTTCACCCCAGCACATCCTGCAGGGAGGGCTGCTCACTTATCCAGGCAATGTTCCCACGGGGTCTGCTGCAGTCACAGGAAGAGGCCACGGTTGGCTGCATCTCTCCTAAAATTGGTCTTCTTTGGCTCCCTGTCGCCACCCTGGGCTTTGCTCTGTCCTCAGACCACGTCTGGGGTCTGGAGGAGTATCTGGAGGTCTGACATGCTGACTCATCCTGCATGTGTATCTAACGATACGGAGCTTGTGATCCAAGTGGGGGGGGCGGTCTTTCCTGGTCTAGCAATTCTAAGTGTCCCTTACAAACACCCCAGAGCGCTGGTGTTTTCTCAGGAGGTGATCCTGGGAGTAGAGGGGCACTTCGTGGGAAGACAAGGGTCAGATGGCCCCACACAGCTGAGATTTCCAGAAGCCCTTTTCCAGGCAGTGCTCCGTCCTCACTCACCCAGGCGCCCCTTGACCGAGCATCTCCTGATCTCCAGCCCATCCCCACGTGTAGCGGTGAGTGCCGGGGGGAAGCTGGCACCTGTGCCAGGCGTAACTCACACACACTGTGACCCTGTGTGGGTGCAGTGATTCAGTCTTCCATCTACTTCTGGGTTTTCAATTCAAGTAACCACTTCTCAATTTTACCATCATTCTTCTCAGTGTTAGACATATACCCAGATTTAGACACCCAAGTCTAATCTGAAATATATACTGAACTAGATTTAGAATCTTCACATCAAATAAAGTGCTTCACTGTTAAGATTTGGATGGGGTGCATGCTCAGGAAAAAGAAGAAATCATTTTCTTAATAGAACATATTGCTCAGTTTATTCTGGAAAGAAGCTTCCAAGGTGGAATGTATTTTAAATAGATTTTTACGAATTGAGTCATGTTTCAGAGTCTTTGGTGATGTAATACATTCTCATGAAAGAAATCATAAAATACAGCTTTGAAAGTTGTGTTTGAGGAAGACTTAACTCTTTTTCTGATTGAGATCATGTTTGCAGTTCCCTTTGTTTAAAATATGTCTAAGAATTCTACTTCTACTGCAAAAATAAATGATAAATTATTTATACATACCAATTATTTATTATTATTTATGCAAAGCTTGCCACATTATGCATGCATAAGGGGCTTAGATCCCCGTTAACCCACAATGCCTTTAGGGCTATCAGATGACGGACAAAAGTGCGTGTGGGTATCACCATCAGCAAATACACACCTTTGGAGCCAACACAGTGTTTATGTACACTGCTGCTCAGATGTATTTAATAGGAAGGGAAATACGATGCCAGGACTGTATCAACCCTAATGCTTATCCACCTAATTCTAAATTTGATTATCCTGGCACTAAATAAACAACTCAGCCGAGGAAATGCCATGTGCGTTGTGATGTAGGCAGAAAATGTCCCTTAGTTTAGGCTTGAAACTAAAAGAAACAGATGAGCTCAACTTAAAAAAAAGTGTACCTTTCCCAAGGCAATGCTTTTGTCACATAATAATGACATATTACAATCAAGAAATAGAGATAAATCAGGAAAATACCATGATATTATTCTTGTCATGGTGCTTCCTGATAGCATTGTGAATTTCAAGGCAAATTCAGTAAAGGTACTTTTTTTTTTCCAAAATACTAATGCATATAAATGAAATTATTAGCAGCATTCATTTTTAATGAGAAACCTAATGGAGGGTTTGCAAAATGATATAACTACCCTTTGATCCGATGAAGGAGCATTTTCCCAGTTCCTAGGGCAAAAATTATATCCAATATGGTGATGCAAAAATGCCACATATCTTTGCTACTGCCAGTTCAGAGATGTGCAGTATTTTTAAAGTTCTGTTGGAGGTGTGTCCATGAGGTTGCCATGTCTATGTACTCGTGGTATGCACGAAGGCTTTGGAAGGGCTGGCCCCAGAGCAGACGTGGTATAGTGGCGGGGAACAGTGCTGACACCACCTGCTACTGAAGAAATTCACTTGCCTGCGAGGTGTTCTGGAGGGGTCAGCTCTTCGACTATTTTTATTGAACAGAATTATCTGTTCATCTGCAGTTGTGTGACATTTTTAAAATTTTTTATGAAGCTGATTTACAACATTGTGTTAATTTCTGCTATACAGCCAAGTGATTAGGTTATTTGTATGTACATGTGTGTGAGTCACTCAGTCATGTCCAATCCCATGGACTCTAGTCCACCAGGCTCCCTCTGTCCATGGGATTTCCCCAGGCAAGAAGACTGGAGTGGGTATCCATTCATTTCAGCAGGGGATCTTTCAGGCCTAGGGATTGAACCCAGTTTCCCACATTGCAGGCAGATTCTTCACCCTCTGAGCCATCAGGGAAACACACACACACACACACACACACACACACACACACACACTTTCTTTCCTGTGTGGCTTGTCACGGAATACTGATTACAGGTCCCTGCTCTGTACAGGAGTATCTTGCTGTTGCTCCATCCTTAAATATGATAGTTTGCACCCCCTAATCCCATCCCTCCCTCAGCCAGCTACCCCTTGGGTAACCAGAAGTTTCTTTTCCGTGTCTGCGTTTCTGTTTCACAGATAAGCTCAGCTGCGCCATATTTTAGATTCCACGTGCAGGTGGGACGGCACGGAGCCTGACTTTCTCTCTCGGACTCACTTCACTCAGCGTGACCACCTCGGGCCTCATCCACGTCGCTGCAGGTGTTTACTGCTCAGCCTGGCCCCGTCTAGAGTCACATTTACTCATTTTGTCCACATTGGTATTTCGCAACTCCCTTGATGCTACACAACATTTATAACCTTGACAAACACACAGCTCTGCAACTCCAGTGATGGGTAACGATGGCCGCTCCTACCACACCACAACCTTGCTCTGTTTTTCCAGCCGTGGACATGGCCTTCTTGCCCAGATGCACGTAGAAGCCCTCCATCCAGCCCACGTCTAGATGGGGTCAGCCTCCCCTCGCAGTTACACACTCCACAGAGGGAGTCTGCAGCCCTCTGGAGCTACCTGGGGGTGCCCTCCTGAAGCTTTCTCTCTGGTTTATAATAAAACTGCTTCTTTGTTTGCAACTTCAACTCATTCTGTCCTCAGACAACAGCTTTTCAGATGTACCACACTTTTTATATTCATGGCAGATACATTCCAAAACCTTGGTGAATTCCCAAATTTGCAACTCTCACTGTGGACTATAATCCCCCTCGTAAAATGAGCTAAATGAAGCAGGAAATTTTAAATGATATGTTAAGACCATCAATGAATCCAGCAAGTGCCAAAGGTATTTCTGAAATGACTACGATCCATTCTCTCCTGAAAAGAACGAGGTTGTTTCACGTCGCTGGAGTCATTTTAACCGTATGTTTCTCTCAGTCAGCAAAACGGAGGCAGAGGTGGGCTTGCTCAGGGTACCACAGGGATGCTCCAAGGATGAAGGCTTGGGAGTATGTCCTCACTTCACCTGAAGTAGGATGTAGGTCTAGGTGCCACTGACGGGCCAGGGGCTGTGTGAGAGATCCAAATGGGATGTCAGAACCGGTGTCCTCCAACGCAGGCGCCTGGGAGCTTAGAATCCTGATACTGGTACCCAGCCCCAGAGGTCTCATGTAATTGTCTGGTGCAGCATTCAGGCACTGTCATGGCTTTAAATTCTCCATGTGAGTCTAACGTGCAGCCAGAGGTGACAACTGGAACCATGAAAGACAGCCCTCAGGTAGCATTTATTTGCCTTACTTTGAAGATTTTAACAGGTTCGATCATAGGACAGAATAATAAAAGGCAGAGACATTACTTTGCCAACAAAGGTCTGTCTAGTCAAGGCTATGGTTTTTCCAGTAGTCACATATGGATGTGAGAATTGGACTGTAAAGAAAGCTGAGCACTGAAGAATTGATGCTTTTGAACTGTGGTATTGGAGAAGACTCTTGAGAATCCCTTGGACTGCAAGGAGATCCAACCAGTCCATCCTAGAGGAGATCAGTCCTGAATACTCATTGGAAGGATTGATGCTAAAGCTGGCACCCTGATGCAAAGAGCTGACTCATTGGGAAAGATTGAAAGTAGGAGGAGAAGGGGACGACAGAGGATGAGATGGTTGGATGGCATCACTGACTTAATAGACATGAGTTTGAGTAAACTCCGAGAGATAGTGAAGGACAGGAAAGCCTGGCGTGCTGCAGTTCACGGGGTTTCAAAGAGTCAGACACGACTGAGCGACTGAACAACAGGAACAACGATAGATCTCTCTCTTGTCACAGATTCAGCCTCTGTGCCGTAAACACTTGCAGGTGATGAAGACGTGGACCACACTGCGGGCCACAAATCAGCAAAGATGCT